CTAGCAAGCAAATTGGTTCAGTAGAAAAATTGGCACGCTTGTATGTGAAAGAGAATGTCAGATTGTATGGTATCCCAAAAGTTAGTGTTTTAGGGATTGTTGATTCACTTCTAGGCAATGGAAAAGCATTAATCCTCAATTGATGGTCACTCTCAAAGGACAAGTCAAGTATTGAAAAAAAAACTTATTGAGATTATGTGTTTTAGAACTTGGAGGTAATTGAGAGGACCACATACCATTTATAGAGTTTTCCTACAACAATAGTTATCAATCAAGTATAAAAATGAGACCATATAAAACACTATATGGGAGAAAGTGCATCTCCCTTAACTTGGATTGAAATAGGAGAAAGACATATAATAGGCCCAAAGTTAGTTGATGAAGCAACGGAGAAAATCAGATTAATCAGTAACAGATTAAAATCTGCTCAGGACCGGCAACAAAAATAGTATGCTCCCAAACACAAGGCAGTAGAGTTTGAAGTGGGTGAATTTGTATGTTTTGAAAGTTAAGCCTATGAAAGGTATAGCTAGATTTGGACAAGGAGGTAAATTGAAGCCTAGGTACATCGGACCATTGGAAATTATTGAAAGGATTGGACAAGTTGCTTATAAACTTGCTCTTCCAGCTGACATATCAGATATACATAATTTTTTTTATGTGTCGCTACTAAGAAAATGGGTCACATATGCCAATCAGAGAATTTTACATGATGATATTGAGCTACAGAAGAATTTGACTTATATGAAAGAACCTAGAAGAATACTAAATTTTGATACTAAAAAGCTTAGAAATCGTCAGATTCTTTATCTTAAAGTGAAATAGAAATATAAGTCAGAAAAAGAGTTCACCTGGGAGAGGGAAGAACATATTAGAATGAGGTTTCCTTATCTGTTTAACAATTAAGAATTAAGAATTTTGAGGACGAAATTTCAATAAGGATGGGTGTATTATAATACCCAAATTTGTTAAAAGTAAGTAAGAATATTTCTCAATAAAATCATCCATTATTTTTTTTCATATATGGAAAATATCAAATTATTTTATTAGCTTTTAATTTTAATTTTGATCCTTATAGTATAATTATCTGTATTCATGTAACAGGCATGTTATCATTTAAATGAGTTTGTTTTAAACACTTAATTAAAAGTATTAGTTGTAATAATACTTAGCATTAATTTAAATAAATGATTTAATTGCTAAAGCAAATAATTCATTTTCCTATTTACAGTTACTATAGCATATCCACTTAGCTTGACATGCAATGGCTAATCTCTCTCATACTTCATCTAACGGATAGCATTAATGTATAGTGGCTTAGTGGAATTAAGTATATAGTATTATAATAAAGAATGTACTTTTAGTGGAATAGTTATATTATTATATTAACAACACCTATAGCCATTCTTTATTTCAAGCGTGGTAGCTGATTTATCATGTAATGAAATTGAGGTAGGAGTTTAAACTTTCAGAAATCTGAGATAGCAATTTCTGTAATCTTTGTGTTGAATTACAATTTTGGAATTTCTAAAATATAGCTGAAGGTGGTGGTTACTTAATTCAAGAATATGGAGAAATGAACTGGTACATTGGTGACCAAATTTAAAAAAAGTGTGCTGTTGAATGAGGAAGTTTAGTGAAGGTTATTTACAAAAGGAAAAGAAGGTTGAATCTAGGATAACCAATTCCTCATGAGGTGAGATACCCAAACAAGATTATAAGAATTAATAAATGTTTTATTATTACACTTTTTCTTGATTATGTTTATGATCACATGTTGTATGAATATGGTTGTATATATATGAAATTGTTATGTAAAAGGTAATCTTTAGCAATGTGAATAATTTCGTAAGCATAAAAGGGTACATATTCATTAACTAGTGAAGTGTACCAAAAGCAACCCTAAAGGGCACAAAGCGCACCTAAAGTGCACTAAAAGCGCACACAAAGTGCACCAAAAGCGCACCTAAAGCGCACTTAAAGGGCACTTAAAGAATACCTAAATGGCAGTTAAAGGGCAACAAAAGGGCAGCTAAAGCAACTATGTCATGAAAAGTATATGTCATTAGCTCTAAAAAGGATGACTATATGAAAAGTGAAATAAATTATATATGGGGGATAGGCCCGCACAAATAAAGGCGAAAGATCTGATGAGGTACTCTTAATTCTAGAAGTTGAGAAATTTGACTAAACCCTGAATGAGAGAACAACTTCCATTCTAAAAGTTGTGAAATTAGACCCAACCTTGAATTGAAAAGTTGAATGGTGCAAAAGCTTATAGCCATTCTATAACTTATTTAAAGATGTGAAATAATTTTTATAAAATCAATAATACTGTTAGGCACTTTCAGGTTCAATATGACATTTCAATGTGTGTTTAACTATGTTAGCATTGTTAAGCATTTCTTATTTGTTTATTATTAATTTTTGTATATTATTGATGTATTTCATTGGGCAATAGCTCATTAGCAATGATTGTACTGCAGGTAAGGGAAAGGAGCTCATAGGGCACTAGACGAGAAAGAGGTGATCATCTATTTTTGATGTAAATATGTTTTGGAGTACAAGGATATCTTAGAGGAGATCTGAATAATAACTGTATAAACTTTTTGGTATGTAAGTAAATTTCAAAAATTTTAATAGAGCTCTGTATTTGTTTTAATTATGTTTGATGTTCAGTAAGATATATTACATGTTTCCTATTATTTAGTGTGGAGTTTGATATGTTGCATTCCTTTGTTATACTCCAGTTTATGTTAAAGGGTGAGCCAAACTGAGGTGTGACATCAGCCTCGATTAATTTACGTGAGCGAAGAAGTAATCCTGACCTCAATAAAAATTTGATATTTACAAGCCAACTGCATCAACAACATATAAATTCATCCCCACACAATGGTTACGGTACAATAAGAACATTTCCAGAACTGAAGATACAAAAACCCCACATTGATTCACAAGAAGATTATTTGGAAAGGCAAGCAAAAGCAATGGGATCACTCAGAAATATTTTGCAAATTAATAGTTAGTCATGCAGCAATCAAAGCCATAAAAATCTATGCAAGATGAATATGAAGTGAACACACTAAAACACTCAAATAAAAGACAATTCCATCACCTTAAAATATAAATAGAAGGCAAATCCAATGTAAGAAATCAAAATAAGTTGAGAGGGTAAAAACAGGATATCAACAATCATAAAATATGAGACATGAGAAAACAAACAAAAAAAAACTAAAAAGATCACAAGTTAACGACCCCATAACAGCAATTGAAGTAATGTACCACCATGTCGCGGGAACTTAAAATTTTTTTTAAAAAAAATTAAAAAACAGGGTAAGAGGTTACACACAAAACCACCACAAATAACTACTAAAAACACAAGTGGCGGCGGGCAAATTCACTTTTTACGCACAAAATAGCAACAAATTAAAAGAATTCATGGTAGCATCAGCTAACTAAAAATAAAGATGTGGCTGCCCCGCTGAGGGTGGAGCAGCTGCTTGACGAGCACCTGGTTGTATGCCATACGGGGGCATTTGCTGAGAAGCTTGAATTAAACCAGCTGAACTGGAAGGAATAGTCCCGGATAAGGAGTATGGGGGTACAGCGGATGCCCCATATGTTTGACCACTGTAAGCACCAGGAACCTGGGGGTGGTTGTAAACACCAGGTCGAATCCCTTGCTGATTAGCATCCCACATAGGTTGAGCACTTAAACCACCATCAGAAATGGCTGAACTGTTATAGACTACTGATGCAGGTTGAAGAACACTAGGCCAACCAGAAGCAGAACTTTGTGGCACTGAAAGAATACCCGCATCAGTAATGGTATAATCCCTGCTCTTATCACTGTGTGCCTGATGAAAAAAAAATAAACGATTATTTGAGAAAATGATAACTCAGGATTAAGAAGCAACAGAAAGCATACTCCGGTGACGAGCATAATTCAGAATAATTGAGCAAACATCTTTATTTCTGATGAATAGCAGGAAAAGTTTTCCACTATCAAAAGCCACCTCTGAATTCAGAGTTGCTTTCCTTTACATTTATTTTGACGCAAACATATTTATTTATACCTTTACATTGAGATCAGTATGACGAGAGTATGACAGATGAAGCTTACAATAGCCACCATCATAGATGCAGTGCCCCTCTAAAGCTTCTTTAGCCACTGCTGCAGTTGTCACGTCTGAAATAACACGAGACAGAATGCTTTAATTTGCTATAAGACAAATAAACTTGCGATAACTATCAGAAACTCAATTCTTCATGGAATTGAGAAGGGTAGGAACAAACACGAACATCCATCGATTATGATAGCTTTTAGAAGAATGGGAAAATTTTCATGATTGCAAAGGGGCAAATGACTTCTCTCTCCTCTGCAACTAGGAGCTTCAATGTTAAAAAAAAGTTTTCACTACTGCTGCTATAGCTATCATTCATAAAACTGAACACGACAATGATATTTTTAACTACAGGCCTAAATGCTTATGCAATATTTCGTATAAATTTATTGCGAAAATTTTGGCTAACCGACTCAAAGACTACATGACCTGCTCCTCCACCCAGCCAAGCAGCCTCCAATCCAGATTAATATCAATTAATAATTTACTTCCCGCTGATCTGCTTAAGGATATTAATGTCTGGCGTTTGGGCAGTAACTTTTCTGTCAAGGTTTTTTTTTCAGTTGACAAGGACTTCCTTCTTTACAGATCTGCTCAGAAAGATTCCCAAACTTATATATCCATTGAATCAATAGTTTTATTTCAAATGTCAAGTTCTCTGTTATTATTAACAGTGAACTTCATGGCTTCTTCCACTCATGTAGCAGTTCGAGAAAATGATGTTCGTTGTCTCCCTGTTCATTTTGCTTTGTTATGGATGCCCCACGTTTGATCACCTTGCTAATGCCAGCACATACCATGGCTCACTTTTTGATCCCTCAATACCACTCATTTTATTTATGTTGATGATCCTTTTGTGTTTGGCAAAGTTGACAAACCCCCTTCAAGAATTTTCTTCACCAATTCTCAATGTTTGGGGCTGCTTCTTAACTTTTTCAAAGTAATATCTAATCATCTAAAGGTACTCGAAAAATTGAACAATTGGCTCAATAAAGGCAATTCAACATTGCTCATACCCCTTTCAAATACCTTGAGCTCCCTCTCTCCTACTATAAGCTTTATACGAAGAACCTTCAAGACCTATTAAACAAGATTCAGACTATTTCAGATATTTGGAAAGCCAACTTCCTTTTGATGTATGGAAAACTGTTACATATCAAACACTCCATTTGAAGCCCTTGTTATCTTCCGTATTAGATTCTATTTCTACCCAAAGCTATCTTGCAGAAAATTGACTCTCTTTGTGCCAAGTTTTCATACAGGGATGTGGATATAAGGCTACGAGCTGATTTCCTGGGCATCCAAATGCATTCCTAAAGTTCATGGGGGCTTGATATTACATTTCTAGCAAAGCTAAAATTATCTAGTCCCATAAATAATTGGGATCTCTGGCTTACACGTCAGAAGTTTCAAGCACCTTTCCAATTAACTCAAACCACCAATAGATGCTTATTAGACCGGAAAGATCATATCAAAATTGCCTCAAGATCAAGGTCTCCACATATGTTAGTGATAGTCATCTGCTCTCTGTACCACGACCCTTGGATGAACAATAAATGCCTTCGGAAGCTTTTTTGCGGCTGTGTTTACTCCTATTTCCAGCTAGCTAAGAACTCCATGCTCAATGTGATCATACTCAATGTATTTGGCAAAGTTAACAGACCTAAACATAATTTCTCTCAAGAATTTTCTTCAACAAATCTGAATGTTCAGGGCTTCTTCCTAACTTTTTCAAAGTACTATCTATTAATCTGAAGATACTCAAAATGCCAAGCAATTGGTTCAATATAGGCAATTCAATATTGCTCTACTCCTTTCAGATGCCCTGTGCTTTCTATCTCCTAAAGTAAACATCACATGAAGGACCTTCAAGACCTAGTGGACAAGATTCAGCATCTTTCAGCAATTTGACAAGCCAACTTTTTTATGGTTGAAAAATTACAACTTACCAAACACTCCATTTGAAGCCCTCATTGCCTTTTGGCTATCTTAGAGGATCTTGACTCAGTTTGAGCCAAGTTTTCATATATTGGTAAAGTGAATAAAAAGCTACAACTGATTTCTTGGAATCAAAATGCTTCATGGGAGCTTGGAACTCCTTTTCTTCATGTTCTGAACATTTCTAGCAACGCTAAAATAATTTGAGCCTCATACATAATTTGGGGCTCTCTGGCTAAGGGTTGGAAATTCAGGCACCTTTTCATTTAGGTCAAAACACCAAAAAATGCTTCCTCAACACGAAAGGTCAAATCAAAATTTTCCTTAAGATATAAGGCTACAGGCTGATTTCTTAGGAATCCAAATGCACTCCTAAAGTTCATGGGGGCTTGGTATACCTTCTTATGCTATTATCATTTCTAGCAAAACAGAAATAATTTAGAGTACTATAAATAATTGGGCTCTCAGTCTCTCGCCAATGGATGTTTTCTCGGCATGGAGATAATATTAAATTGTCTTAAGATCACACCTGGAATATCCACTTCCGTTGGTTATGGTCGACTGCTATCACTCTACCACAACTCCCTATCGCTCTACCACAACTCTTGGGTGAATGACAAATGCCTTTGAGAGCTTTTTGGTGGCAAAATTTACTCCTATTTCCACCTACCTAAAAACTTCATAATTAATGTGTTTGACAAAGCTGACAAGCCTAAAACATTATTCCGATTAAGAATTTTCTATACCAATTCTTAATGTTCAGGGCTTCTTCCTAACTTGTTCAAAGTAATATCTACCTATCTAAAGATACTCAAAATGCAAAGCTATTGGCTCAACATAGGCAATTCAACATTGTTCACACTCCTTTTAGATGCCTTGCGTTTCCTCTCTCCTACACTAAGCATCAAATCAAAGACCTTCAAGACGTATTGGGCAAGATTCAACATCAATTAGCTATTTTGAAAGCCAACTACTTTTCGATGGTTAGAAAATTGCAACTTATCAAACACTCCATTTGAAGCCTTTTAGCTCCTTTTGGGTTAGATTCTTTTCTTCCTAAAGCTATCCTAGAGAATATTGACTCTCTTTAAGCCAAGTTTCCGTATATTGGTGATGTGTATAAAAAGCAACATGATTTCCTGGGAATCCAAATGCACTCCTAAAATTTAGGGGGGCTTGGTATTACTAGGATAATCTAGATTTTTATACATAATTTGGGCTCTCACTAAGTGTTGGAAGTTCAGACACTTTTCCATTTAGCTCAAACCATCAAAGGATCCTTCCTTGATAAGAAAGATCAAATCAAATTTCCTGAATATCAAACCTAGGATCTCCTCTTATGGAGATGATTGTCATCTGCGTAAGAACTTCATTAGGACCTTCCCCCAGGGTTATACAATTTATTTCTACTATCCCTATCCTTGATGGTTCTAACATGTTTCGTTTAAATAATCATAAAGGCTTCTCCTGAATTTCTCAAGAACCACTTTTTAACTATCTTTCTTATGGCCCTTCCATGCCTCAACTTCCAATGCAAATTAACAGTCATATGAATACCTCCATTGTAAAAAATCTAGTTTACCTTATTACCCACACTATTATTAACAACGTGGAGGGAAATGAACGATTGTTTGTCAGGCCATCACATCTTCTCTTCTAGCATGATTTCAATTCAATCAAACTAGAGATCAAATGCGGCATTAAAAATTGGCAAGTCCTTGCAAACCTATCAAATTTTCAGTAATGCAAACTACTAATTGTCAAAGTAAATATTTCTTGTTGTTAATTCATGCTCGGTTAATTGATTCTCTTGCCCTTATCTATCGGAACTATTATCAAAGTTAATATTGATTGTACCTTGATGGACTTGTCAGACTTATCAGTCATCTGAATCTCTTGGATCAACCATACCTTCCATCTTTGTTCCGCCAGATTACTATTTCCATATTCTTCTTTAATCCAAGTATCAGGCCAAGTTGCTGTTGATGTTGGGTATACTTTTGGTTCTCATCCTCATAGCCGTACTGGTGGTTTATTGTGTCTACCTTGTATAGCTAGAGGTTGTGGTGTTAATTTTTGGCATGTTTTTGATCATTGAGTCTGTATCTCCCACAAACAACTCCTGATGAATTCTCATATTGCAATTCTAATAATTTGTGCTTTTCTTATTCAAACTATGGCTCTCAATTTCCCAATAAAATTTCTAGATGCCACATGAACAGCAACCGAAATAATTCAATCTCCTATCAAAACCTTTAAAGTACCATAAACAAAATTAACATCTGATACAAAAAAAAATCACATCTAAAAATGGGTGTGAAATGCCTGAAAGGTTGTCAAAAAAAGCCGGATGAGTTTAATGAAACATGCACCATTACAATATAAAGGAGCAAAGAGAAAAGTGAAAAGAGACTCGAAAAGGAAGAGAAGAACTAAATTGAAAATCTAAATCCTGCATACCAGGATATTGAATTAAAGCCTGCATGCCACCATTCTTCTCAAATATTGCAATTTTTTGAACTGCACCAAATGCTGAGAACACCTGGAACAATTTTGGCCAAAAAAGAGACAAGAACAATTTAATGCATTGAGCAAAGTTCTCTTTTAGAACACAAAATGATATTACTATCATAAGCTTACAGTATGAAGAACATCAACTGTGACAGCATATTGCATATTCTCAATGGAAGCAAGAAGTACATTACTTTCAGGTTCCTTTTTCTTGCCATCAGCCCCAACGGTAGGCTGCATATGAAATTCCCTTAGAGCCCTAGAAATTCAACATAAAAACAGACATAAACAGTATAAAAGAGGCAAACCTGCAAAGTACCCTCGATTGCAGAAGGATTCACAGGAAGATAAGGGTTCGTGTAATCCCTGTGGGTGAAATCAAATATGTTAGTAATAATAAAAATGACAAAAAAGGTGGCAACTAGTTTACAGAGATGGAATAAAAAATGCTAATGAATTACAATTAATTCTGAAAATATAGCAGCAAATAAATTCATTATCTAGGAAAAATTGGCCCGATTCTCAGGTAATCTCTCTCACTCACTAACTGCATGCAAATAAATATTGGCAACAAAACATGGTTTGCAATATAATATAACCTAAACCTTAAATCAAAATTCAAATATTAACCAAGAATACCAAGATTTAATAAGTTTGACAAACAAGTACTATGTAAAAAGTACTACGAAGCCACAAATTTTTTTTATAGCAATGCATCAATTACTAATCCATTAGTTAAGAATGCAACAATCTCAAAACATCTCTATTTGACTGATATTAATATCACCTAACAAAAAGTGACTAACATTGATATGAAAGGATATATTCATAGGATTAAATGGGTATGCAAATAGAAAGTTCAGGAAATATGTAAGGGAGTACTATATCCGCAGCAATGGCCATTGAGACAGAATTTTTTAACCTAAAAATATCAGTCTCAACCCTTTCTTAAAATATATGCATACAAGATACATCCCCAACTCATCAAGGTCTGTTAGCTGAGTTGCATGGAACTAGCATGGATCATGTCAGGCAAGTCAAATGGAACTTGCCTAGCTCATGTTTAGCTAAGCCACAAGGAATTTTCCTAGGTCAGGTCAGCCAAGTCATATGCTCCCTCCCTCCTCTCTCACAATTCAGTCAACCTGAACAGATTCTTTGTTAAACAATCCTCTGAAGAAAGTCGAGTGACTAGCCTCATTGAGCCTAGTCTCGTATCCTAAGCCTAGGGCTCGACCAATTCCCCTAAGCCAAACTTGAATCACACATCATTTTAGGTGTGACATGCACAAAAATGGTGTTAACTAAGAACACAAAGGCAACCAAAATTGCAATTACAGGCCCCAAAGGGTAATGAAAACTTCATCATATTTAAGTAATTGCATTAGATTAGGGACCATTTTACCTAAATGGTCTTCGACATGATCAAATGAGTTCAACAATCTGTTCTTCCCCCACTTCCACAAAGTCTAACCAACTCGCCAAGGCACCGCCAAACATTTCAAACTTGACATCTTGGAAACTTTGATCACTGAGTTAGCGAGCATGAGAGAATCATTAAAAAGCTCATAGGTCATACTAAACATAAGGGAGGAGTCGATTAATCACTAACGATTCATCTCATGCTTCCAAAGTGAGATGTTCGATATACAAGATCTCGAGTTGATCGTTGCAACAGCCATAATCACACAAAACCAATGGTTCTTTTCTGAGACAAACATGGGATGAAATTGTCTCAATAATTGGCCAAGTATTGGAACATGTCAATAGCCACATCAGTGCTTAAAAATATAGCATATTATCGTCCAGTAAATATTTTCATTTAAAAATCATCTGAGCATCGTCGACATTATCATGACCAATGTAGCAAACTATGTGATTGGATCAATAAGATGGTTGAGCAGACCATATCCTTGACGCCCTTGCTTCCTGAAGAAAAAGGAATGGGATCTAACATCTTACGACCCCTCAAAGCGAGAGAAAGTGCCACTTCAATCACAATCTGTAATAGCCCGTATTTTGGCTTTGCCAATTTTTTTCTGGAGTCATTATAACTCCAAATCACAATCTGTCTTCGCCAAAGTATTTTGATCATAGCATTTTACTTACACGAATTTTTTCGTAATTTTTTTGAATAAATACAGATGTGTACATTGATGTTTTAAATTATAGAATATGTTTTGTTGTTTATTACTAATAGATGATATTAGATAGTTCTGATTCTTGTTTATTTAAAAGATAAATGAATAATTCTTCCACTTTAGATTTTGGGATATCACACAATGCTCTATCCAAATTGTGGATGCCATTAAAATTCATCATAGCCATTCAGAACAAAAAGTACTTCAAGAGACATTCATCAGTCTAGAATCCCAAAAAATATAACATTTTTCATAAAGACCAATGGAATGATAATCAAGGATTGTCGACACCTCTACATAATCTAGTGTAAGAGTTCATCTAAATCGTGATATTTAAAGAATTCATCCTCATTGACCTAGGGTGAAGAGAGAAAAGGTGCCGATGAAAAAATACAATGATGGTTCAATTGTTGCCCAAACACTATATATTATGGGCATCATTCGAGCTATTCTAGGTGGAGACAAGGTCGAAGAATTAAGATAGTCTATTCTCAAGGAGCTCTAGTCAAGAAAGATCTACGATAACATCATTGCAATGACTGCTAAATGGTTAATCTCCTTCTTTGATGTCTAGCAAGAACCCCTTCAATGACCACTTAATAGTAAATGCATTAACTATAAATGTCTAGCCTTAATTGAAAGTTCTCTCTCGTGATCGAGAGGGGTAATTAACTATAGGGGCTTGCACCTATAGGAAACCATAACTTAGATCATAAAGTCCTCACAAAATCAGGGCGAAATCTCTAGGTAGTGTATTAATTACAAACCCAATCTGTCTTCTGAAATTTTACCTCGAAACATAATTCATTAAAACTCCCACCGAATGGACGAGGGGAGGCCGGGGCACGAATTTTCGGAGCACAAAGATAAGATCAAATATTTTGAATCATATCTAATGTCATCTTAAACCAAATATAACTTAAATAATTAAATACAAGACAAAAAGTGTAAAAAAAGGTCATCAACTATTTTCAATTAAAATTATTCCAAAATTTTGAAATTAAATGAAACAACTAACATAAATTCTAAATTAACCTAAATCACATCTAATTTCTTATAATCAGTGTCCCATCAACCTTCCCCAACCGCTACCTGGAAAAAAACACTCACATCATATATTGGGCTCCATCTAGGGCTGCAAGCGAAATAAGTGTTCGACGAGCTACTCGTTGCTCGGTTCAATTAAAGCTCCTCGTGATCGTTTAATTAACTAAACAAACAAACTTGAACATTTTTTAAATACTTGATTCTTCAATAAACAAGCTTGAACAGTAATGTGTTCAACTCATTTATGATTATGAACAACTTCATTTAAAGCTCACGAACAAGCTTGAAATTAAGCTCAATAAGAAGCTCGATTCAAAACTCATGCATAAGCTCGTTAAAAACTCGATTAATATTTGATTATAAAATTGATAAACATACATAATATAAATATTTTATATTTGATTATAACATAATGATATAATAATTGCTACTTAATAAATTTTATAAATTTCATGAACAAGAGACATTTGTTCATGTTTGCTAAATTGTTTGTTTAAAATGTTAATGAAAAAATATAAGATGAATTATAGATCATTTGTTCATGAATAAGCTTATTTGGTAGCTCGAAAATACTAATTATATATGTTTATGAATTTGCTCATTTGATAGCTCAAGAATACCCATTAGATATATACGTGAACGAGCTTGTTTAATAGTTTAAAAAATTTTGATAGATATGTTCATGAACATGCACGATATAATTATTTGTTAGAAGGCTTGTTTGTTAAGTTAATGAACATCTAGAAGTAGAGCTCATTTATAGCTCAATAAGGCTTGTTTGTTTAAAGCTTGATAAGCACAAAACGAATCAAACATGAATTAAATATGAACCAAACATGAACACCCATTAATTTAAACGAATCAAGCTTGAATACAAACAAAAAAGCTCGAATCAAACTCGAACTGACCTTAAACAAACTGATAAAAAACAAACTCAAACATGAACATGCACATACTCGGCTCGGCTCGGCTTGGCTTGTTTGATAGATATGTTCATGAACATGCACGATATAATTATTTTGTGCAGTTTTCTTTGTCTTTTGTGGTTATTTGGCATATCCATGAAAACTTCTTGTTAAATATTATCTTATAGGTAATCTGGGATAAACCAATTTCTGATTGAATATGCAAACGCCATGTTGTTTTGTTTTAATCTGAACCATATTCGTTCCTATGACAGGTTCAATAATACCAATTAACATAGGTAGAATGAACGAAAACCCATTCATTAAAGAAAAATAGACGAATTCAAATTACAGCAGTGGGCAACCACAGTTACAGGTTTCACACAGTTCACTAATGAAAACATACCTGCTGCGATGTGACTGAAATTTGATATTCAAATCTGTGTGAGCAGAATATGAAATACGCAAGTGACATGAGGCAACATGCTCTGGGAGTAAGTATCTAATAATCAAGAACTTGTATCAGAAGGTTTCTACAAATTTAAACTTGCGGATTCAATAATTGAAAGATAACCAAAGGAACCTAGGAATACTCCTCCCATCTAATGCATTCCTGGCTGCTGATGCAGTCTCTGCATCAGTGAACTGGATTAAAGCCTACAAGAAGAAAATTGTACGTCACAACACTAAATGGCAGGCTTCTGGAGTCTTCAGAAAAAAAACCATCTATGACCAACCTGAAAACCAGCTGCCTTCTCAAATGTAGCAATCTTGTGGACAAACCCAAAAGCAGAGAAGACCTAAATGAGAGTTAAAACAAGATTAACGATAACATAATAGCAATAAAAAATAAAACAAAAAACAACAATATCAGCTGCACTTAGAATCATGTAATTCTGACATTAGAAGTGCAGTGCAGAACCAGTAGGTAATAGCATGATAGTCATCAAACTCCAGTGGCATCAACAATGAACATCACATAACTTAAAAAACGATGAATAGGATGCATAGAACATAAATATTCACTGCATCTAACAAAGAAAGTTTACAATCTCCCGCCAGGTAAAGATGAGATGAGGAAAGTATACCACAATATTTCAAAAGAATCAGAAAAAAAAAAAAACAAACTTGCTAGTTCAAGCTTTTGAATGTGTTCTATAAATGAGGGAAGAATGAAATTGCATCAAATTAGCAAAAAATATTATACAAACTGAACAGTACAACACGACAACAAATCCACAAAGAGCCAATCTTTGCATTGAGTTGCATATAATCGCAAAGCACAAAGTACAATTCAATCACCAAAGATAGAAAAAACAAAATTTTCAAAGATAAAGAAATTACTCAGATGGTGGAAAAATCAAAGAAAGAAATAATAATAAAAGCATCGCATCCCTCCATACACAAAACCTGAAAAAATAAATCTTTATTGCATGGATGTGCAGATCAGTTTAAAGCAAGTTGCAGCAAGTCACAGAGAGAAAAAATACGATTGGTACAGATTACATATGAAAATCTGCTCTTTTCATATATTGCACCAATGTTTCACTCTAGTGCCTTTACATGGCATATAATGCCAAATACATAAAAACTACTCACCAGATGAATAACATCTATGCTGACATCCCCAGCTTCAACACCCTCAATAGTTACAAGCAAGACATTCCCAGCAACATCTCCGGTACTCTTATTGTTTACAATCTCCTGCCTATTTGAATACTGTATATACACAGTTTTACCACGAACCTGAGCAGGCTCAGAGGATGAAGCATAATATGAAACCATTGAGATGGCCTGGTTAAGGTCCGCCTATAATACATGAATCCAGGTGAATATGTTAAGAAACCATGAGATGTTCTGAAAATGATAACGAAAAGAAACTTCAAAGTAAATCAACTAAGCATGTCATATAGAATATTAAAGACCGTATTAAAATGAACAAGACCGATTATTGTCATAACTCAAATAACAAACTAAACAAAGAGAAAATAGTTGCTGCATGCTAAACATACCAAAGAGAAAACAGTAACTAAATGCCCATATAATTAATTTTCGAGCATGATTCTGATAAAGATAAAAGCTTGATACGCTTTCAAAAGAAAAAACATTTCAGAAAGGTTGAAAAAGGAAGTGTTAAAATAACAGCAATGCCTGAAATTGGATTAAGGAAAACATAAGTTCAGAATGAGGAAGCATCAAAATAATTGCAACACCTGAAAATGGATTAAAGAATAGCACAACAAAGGTATCGATCCCTAAAAAAAGGAAGACATAATTGTAATCTATATTAAATTAATGCCAAAAAAACCGAGACGTTAATATCAAACAAGAACAAATAACTTATAAAATTTGACTAAAGCCTCAGCACAAAGATCGATGCTTTTTTTCTACAATAAATTTGTATGATAAAGTACTGAAAAAAAAAATAAAGGGATAAAAAAAGAGTAAAGGGGATAAAGAAGAAAGGTTGCAATTGATGTTCGAAGAAAGAGCACTCAAGCAGATCAATCAATTGCTGATTCTCATAGCCTTCTAGAAGTGCAGCCCACATGCAAAAATTACCCATAGGTTGCGTCTTTGCCAATGACATAAGTATCCCATGTAAGAGCTGCATCATGAAGATGTCCAAGGAAATGAGAGGAAGAAACTGGAAAGGAGTAAAACAAGTTTTCTCTTTTCTGCATCCTTAAAAACTTCATACCTAGTAAGTTTGCATAGCCTATCTGCAAACTCTTAAGACAATTGACTACTGAGGACCTTCAAAAAATCAAACTCATCAAATTTCAATGAGCTGAAGAAAACTTTCACCATCACCATCGTCATCACCACCGTTAGGCTTCTCCCATCAATATAGATGGTTCATGAATCCACTTTCCATTCATCCTTGTTGAGAACCATATTGAGCATTAAATGTATTCATGATAAATCATTTTGAACATTCTATCCATTTTACCTTAGGTCTACTCGCTTTCCTTCATAATTCTCAGACAGCAGTTTATCCACATGTCTAATACGTACGCCCTTCATAATACATGACCAGACCACCTACCTCAATTTTCAACTACTTTATTTTCAAAAGATGTCAATACAAATGTTCCTCTAACATAATATTTTTTTAATTTATCATTCCTAATTTTCACAACATTCATATTAGCAGCCTCATTTCTACCACATGAAACTATATACGTCTTCTAAAATAATAAAATATCTAGCATCGCATTCATTTTTAAGGCTTCTTGGTCGCTGGGCACACAAATCATGAACAGTTCGTACACCAACAAGCAACCTCTAAAATCATCTGCCTTTAATCATCATCCTTTTAAACTCTGAGGTACTAAGTTTAGAACCAAAATAACTAATGGATCTCTGTCTCTAATTATAAAGCAAAAGTCTTTGAAAAACAAGTCTAATACAAAACTAAATTCAGAAGCAACCTGAAAATGAAATCTTAAATCTCCTCGTATGCATAAGTATGCAATTTCGTTCAATCCTCTCAATCCCTCATCTTACCAAAGAAAATCATGAGAAAATCTTATACTATCCGTCAAATTAATAATAGTAAGGTCTCCATCAATATGGGACAAATATTAAGGTTCGTGGGGAATCTCTAAAGCCAAATACCCTCTTATGTTGTTGCAACAGAAAAAAAACATATTTATACCTATATTATACAAAGAAGAACACAACTGCAACTTTTTGCAACGACAATGATTAGTAAAAGGGCAAGTCTGGAAGCCGCGCTCCTCTATGCTACCAACTAATACAAATTTCCGCAATTTCCATCATGATAACAAACGAGAAATGTATAAGCTCCTCTACACAACTTACCAATAATCTAGTCTTGCAATACTCTATTAGCAGCTTATTAGCCGCAGAACAAATGATGCATTGGGCCAAGTATGCATCACAACATACACCAATAACCTACTTGCATTCTGATAAATACCTTGGAGATGTAATTTGTATTTTCTTGTGATTAAAAGCAATCATCAAGACTTACAATGAACCAATTTTCCGTTGAAGTGTAAATGGCTTCGAAGTGGTGCATCCTAAACCAGTAATAAATCCTCCTGATGCAATTCTCTGAGGACAAACATCTGAGCCTTTTAATTGGCCCTTCAATAATTTATTAAAACCCAATTTTCATAATTTGCATCATCTCAATATTAGATAACAACCACTTATTCGTTGCAACAAATATCTTGTGTCATTTCCAACAAATATTATATTTTCCATCAAGGAGTAAGTACAGCACAATGAGGTTTTCCTTGGGTTGTCTAAATACACAATGGTCCATTTCCAATATTTTCAAACCATCAAAAACCATAATTTGATAACTATATGATTATCTATTTGAACAAATATCGTAACCCACAATGTAACCCTAGAGTTCGAGAGCATAGTTTGTTAATCAAGAAGCTAACGGGATCACAATTATATTTCTTTGTCCATCACACCACTAAGTAATGTTATATTGACATTCAACCGAAAAGCTCTTGAATTAGAAGCACAATTAAGGCTAGATTTAAGCAAACTGAGAATATCCTCACCATTAAGGAGAATGCCTCCACAGAGTCAATAACTTGTGGTTACTTATGAATTTTGCTTCCAAGCCTGTATGCCATCCGCCTCACATGTAATACTTTAGACCGTTCTTTACAATGGTCTCGTGCAACCACAGGATATCAACCAATAGTTGGTACGGCAGTCTCTTGCTTAACTTTTTGAAAATCAATTCTAATTTATATGAAAAATGTGAATAGAAAGTTCCCATTTAGCATATGCCGCTTATGATTTCAGAAGCATATTCACTGACTTATGCAAAAACTTGTAATTTGATATGAGATTAAGCTAATTATATGTCAGAAAGCATAGTAAAAACACAATATCAAGTTATCACAACACCTATACCAAACAAAGCCAAAATATCAAACTCTATATGCCATAAAGTAGCTCAACTTATCTTTCAAGACAGCTTTTGAAGAGTTGACAAAGAAAGAGCCTCATCATAAGCAATCATTTTACTGAGATCAAAAGGATAAAATATATGTGGTTCATCCTCAATCTGCAAATCATCACGAAGTGGAGCGCTCTCACGAATTAAATTCTCCTCCCACTATCCTTAAGAGAATTCAAGAATGTTATTTGACTCCCAACACACAGTAAGAGTGAACATTCCTCAAATGACTCCAAAATTTTTAAATCATTTATTATCTTGTCAACAGTGGAAAAATCTTCAAGGGAACGCGCTGACATGACCCTGAACCTCCAACTAATTGAGATACTTCTATCAATGTATTTACTAATGTAGCATGACAATTTGAGGTTCCTGAATGTCTAAGAAAGTCATGTTTTACCTCTTTGGGGCATAATTTTTCATATTTAGGGAAGAATTGTGAACTTATCTAGTTGATCTCCAACATCTCAGGCTACTTCTATTAGGATGTCATCATGTTTCATATCGCTAACTTAGAGGGCTCTTGATTAAGTATATAGGTTGTGAAAAGTACAGGAAAAATATATTGAAATTTTTGCATGTGCCATCATCAACCTTACCATAATAAAAAGTGATTTTTCTTCTACAACCTTCTATTTTTGTAACAAAGCGAGAAACTGTCAAATGTCAATAAGTTGTGTACTTGAGTTTTCCCTTTCCACTATGTGTGTAGGCCCTTTATGTCAGTGTGTGTGCATCGGCCTTAAAATCCCTACCGGACGAATCATCCCTTCAATTAATAGGAGCTTGAAGCAATATAATACTGCATGCCCATGAGAAACTGAGAAAGTAAATAGACATTCACATCATAAATAATAATTACGTAAAAAAAGCGCATGTAAGGGTAGCCAACATAGCCATCCTTTCTTGACTAGTAACAAAAGAAACAAAATTTTATCCATATAAACCTTATTATGAAATTTGGGTAGAATTCTCATTAAAAATATTAAGAAATTTGATAAAAAAATTACAAAAAAAGAGAACAACACAAGAACTATAAAAACAATATATAAGCCAAACTAAGAAATCAAGTAGTTCGATAAAACTAGGACCATTTGGAAGACAAAGAACCTCCCAATTGTTACTAATTATGAAAGATTCGTTTCCCTCAGCAGATTGAATCCAAAAATAAGCCAAACAAATGATGTTTCACCAAATAGCCTTGTCATCCTTCCATTTATAGTAAAAATTTTAGATGCTCCTTTCAATTCAAATATTCCATATAACAGAATAGAGGAAGATGTCCCAAATCTCCTTGATAGCACTAGGAACTGAGTTATTTCTCCAAGTATTGAACAAAGTTAACTCAATACCCAAGGGATTACTAATTTGGTATAAGTTGAAAAGTCTACTCTATATATTGCAAAACAGTCAGCAATGAAAGGAAAAAGATAAGAAGGATGAGTTGACTTGGATCAAATCTATCGAGTTTGTAGCCTAGCCCAAAACTAAGTTAACTTGAATAATCAGGCTGAAAAAATGAGTTTTTTCAATTGACTATGGAAGCTTGACCCACACAATTAATTTCATCAATTCAAATCAAATAAACATATTGTTGCTCAAATCCTACTCTAGAAATGCTAGTTCATGTCAAATCAACATTAAACTCGGGTTGAGGATATTACCCAACTAAAATGCATGGACACTTTCAAATAGTTGTCGTGACTGTGTCGGACACGGACATGAACACAACTCTAACACTCAAAAAATTGTCCAAGACTTTTTATGACAAAATTAGACCTGGACATCGGATGGACATGGTGAGGGACATGGATCACACAGGCGAACATGGCTCATAAGGGGCAAATGTTGACCTCAATACTTACTTCAAGGTCTAGACAGCCATGCACGACGAGTGAAAAATGCAATGTCATGCAAAACTATCTAAAATGCATAAATCAAAAGTCAAAATCACTTAAACGGACAGCACAAGCGCATTCGGGACAACTGAAACCAATGCTTTAAAAACCGGACCGGACCAGCCGGTCCGACCGGTTCAACCGTGAACCGGTCCAAAGGCCGGTTCGATTAAACCTGAAAACCGACTTATCTTCAAACCGGCCGATTTTGTCCAAAACCGCCGGTTCAACCGGTGAACCGG